AACTTAATCACCCCCCCCCGGGGGGGGGGGGGGGGGAATCATCTAAATCATCTAAAAAAAAAAATCTAAATATAGACGTGTCCAGTCCTCTTGGAGGGGCACTTTCTTGTGGAGTTTTGATCCAACTTTCTCCAGCACACCTGCCTGGAAGGTTCTAGTGGCCTTGATTACCAGGTTCAGGTGTTAATTAGGGTTACAGATAAATCAGGCAGGATGGTGGTCCTCCAGGATCAAGGTTGGAAATCTCTGATCTCTAAATTATTTTAATAATTTACTTGAAGTACATCCTGAGGTTTTTGATGTTGTTGCAACTTTTCAATATACTTTTATATTTACATAGCCTAATTTATATATTAACTTTATGTATGTTGTTATTTTGTCTTGAAATACATGTACATATGTAAAATAGCATAATAAAAGGAAATATTTGATTGTATCTATTAAAAATAAAATAAAAACGTTTCAGAGTTTGAATAAGTAAGCACATTACCAGATGTTTATTTCTGTTTGCTTTATCCTAGATAGATAGACAGATAGATAAAGAGACAGACAGAGGCAGATAGATAGATAGAAAAGTATTTTAAAATGTACACATTTAAAAATATATTTTTAGTTTTTTTTGTCATTTATATATTTATATTAAAACAAAACACAAACATTTCAAAGAGTTTAGATTAGTAAGCATAGTACCAGATGTTTATTCCTGTTATTTTAATCTTTTATTCTGAAGACATTATATTCACAGGTTCTTTTGCTTACACAGACAGAACCGGTACAGTATGGCCTGCAGCAATTATCTTGTGAGTTCAGTCTCAGGTCATATTGTTCTGATTTTCCAGAAATCTGACTTCCTCCTCAGGCTTCATACCTGTGTTGATGGCTCACCTCTTGAACACTCTCTTCCCACACCCACATACGAACAATGATAGTGACCTGATATTGAACCTGAGCTACTTTTCTGTACAGGCGTGTGACAACTGGTGCGCTTTCTGAATGTGATGATGAGCTGAAAGCAGGAAAGTGTCATCGCTCCAGGCTTATAGGCTTCCATTACATAAAAAGTTAAGAGATGTTTATACTTTCCACATTGATTTGGGGAAACACAGTCTTCTGGAAACAGCATTCCGTTTGCTCATAAGAATTCTTATATATGAAGCCCATCCATCCCACAGCTTTGTGTGCTCGTCGACTGAATAACAAAGCAGTCAAGCAAGCAGCTTTTTCTAACGATTAAACTAGGATTGAACAGGATTTTCAACATGAAACTGCAATTACAACACATTCTACTATCATGTGTATCAATGTGATGCAGTGGCATGCACAGACCTCCGGAGGGGCAGGGGAGTTGGTGGTCCCCTGGGTCGAAATCGCGTTCTGGGAGGTGTTCATAATTACAGACAAATTAATCTGTTTTTTATTACAAGTTGAACACAGGGTAGATGATGCACTCAAGAGACCACACCTTCTGTACCTGCGGTTTATCTCTTTGTGCAGGGTGATACAACGCCCGCCAGACCTTGGATGAAGACTTACAGAATGAAAAACAGTTATTATAGTTAATGCCTGCTCTCTCTCAACCTGTTCTGTCAGCTACATAAAAAAAAAAAGGCACACAACAGGAGTTCCCAACCTTTTTTGTCCGTTAAATCCCATCTAAATATAGACGTGTCCAGTCCTCTTGGAGGGGCACTTTCTTGTGGAGTTTTGATCCAACTTTCTCCAGCACACCTGCCTGGAAGGTTCTAGTGGCCTTGATTACCAGGTTCAGGTGTTAATTAGGGTTACAGATAAATCAGGCAGGATGGTGGTCCTCCAGGATCAAGGTTGGAAATCTCTGATCTCTAAATTATTTTAATAATTTACTTGAAGTACATCCTGAGGTTTTTGATGTTGTTGCAACTTTTCAATATACTTTTATATTTACATAGCCTAATTTATATATTAACTTTATGTATGTTGTTATTTTGTCTTGAAATACATGTACATATGTAAAATAGCATAATAAAAGGAAATATTTGATTGTATCTATTAAAAATAAAATAAAAACGTTTCAGAGTTTGAATAAGTAAGCACATTACCAGATGTTTATTTCTGTTTGCTTTATCCTAGATAGATAGACAGATAGATAAAGAGACAGACAGAGGCAGATAGATAGATAGAAAAGTATTTTAAAATGTACACATTTAAAAATATATTTTTAGTTTTTTTTGTCATTTATATATTTATATTAAAACAAAACACAAACATTTCAAAGAGTTTAGATTAGTAAGCATAGTACCAGATGTTTATTCCTGTTATTTTCATCTTTTATTCTGAAGACATTATATTCACAGGTTCTTTTGCTTACACAGACAGAACCGGTACAGTATGGCCTGCAGCAATTATCTTGTGAGTTCAGTCTCAGGTCATATTGTTCTGATTTTCCAGAAATCTGGCTTCCTCCTCAGGCTTCATACCTGTGTTGATGGCTCACCTCTTGAACACTCTCTTCCCACACCCACATACGAACAATGATAGTGACCTGATATTGAACCTGAGCTACTTTTCTGTACAGGCGTGTGACAACTGGTGCGCTTTCTGAATGTGATGATGAGCTGAAAGCAGGAAAGTGTCATCGCTCCAGGCTTATAGGCTTCCATTACATAAAAAGTTAAGAGATGTTTATACTTTCCACATTGATTTGGGGAAACACAGTCTTCTGGAAACAGCATTCCGTTTGCTCATAAGAATTCTTATATATGAAGCCCATCCATCCCACAGCTTTGTGTGCTCGTCGACTGAATAACAAAGCAGTCAAGCAAGCAGCTTTTTCTAACGATTAAACTAGGATTGAACAGGATTTTCAACATGAAACTGCAATTACAACACATTCTACTATCATGTGTATCAATGTGATGCAGTGGCATGCACAGACCTCCGGAGGGGCAGGGGAGTTGGTGGTCCCCTGGGTCGAAATCGCGTTCTGGGAGGTGTTCATAATTACAGACAAATTAATCTGTTTTTTATTACAAGTTGAACACAGGGTAGATGATGCACTCAAGAGACCACACCTTCTGTACCTGCGGTTTATCTCTTTGTGCAGGGTGATACAACGCCCGCCAGACCTTGGATGAAGACTTACAGAATGAAAAACAGTTATTATAGTTAATGCCTGCTCTCTCTCAACCTGTTCTGTCAGCTACATGCAGAGCCACAGACTGCGACTACAGCAAGGAAAGAGTGACGGAAAACAAAACAAAAAACTGGTTTGTGGTTGAACGTTTTGTGTCGGCTTCTTTGAAACTCACAGCTCCTGAATCCTGTGGTTTACCTGAGCACTGCTCACCTGCGTCAACGCTGACATCACCACTAGGACTGGAACAGTTCAAAGGTGACCTCAGTTCATGGGAGGTGGCCTTCAACACAGTGTCATCTACTGGTGACAGACGGACATGAGATTGTACACTGATTACATAATAGATTAAACTATAGGGTGCTGTTCAAACACAGAATTCTATTCTGTAAGGACATACAATTTAACACATTTTAATACACATTTTTACTGAAAATGACAAATGCAAAAGAGCTAAACCACAAAAGATGTGTCATATCACACATACAGCGAAAGCGTTGACTGTACCTGATCACAGTTGGGTAGAGCTCTGATGTATACACATACACAATATTAAATGCAGCACTGACCATCAGTTTTCCCACTAGAGCCAGCGACGTGGCACTTAATAAGGACCCTGAGGAAAGCAAACAACAGGCTTTAGACAACCAAATTATAAATGCATGAGGTATGCTTACAGAGAATATATGCACTATGGTCAAATGTTTGAAATTAGTTTTTTTTGTTGTTTATAAATGTTGATAAAAGCTACTTAATATTTTTTGTGGAAACCTTTATACACTACCATTCTAAGTCTGGGGTATGTAAGATTTAAAATAAAAAAAGTAGAAAATTAATATTTTTATTCAGCAATGACAAATTAAACGGATCAAAAGTGACAGTAAAGACATTTATGTATATTGTTACGAAAGATTTTTATTTCAAATAAATGTGTCATGGTTTCCACAATAATAATAATTACAATATTCATTATTAAATAATAGTTTGAGTAGATTGATATAATAATAGAGCACCAAATTAGCATATTAGAATGATTTCTGAAGGATCATGCGACACTGAAGCCTGGAGTAATGGCTGCTGAAAATTAAACTTTGCAATCACAGGAATAAATTACATTTTACAACATAATATAAAAAAATAGTTCTTTTAAATTGTAATAATATTTTTACAATATCACTGTTTTTACTGTATTTTTGATCAAATAAATGCAGCATAAGACATAAGAATAATGTTAATTATTTCACTTGTGACTAATTGTTTGTGGTCCCCAAATGTATCGTAGAGCATTCCTGAAATAATTAATTGCCTAGATAACAAAAAGTCAAACCAAGCGGCATCAAAACCCAATTTATTTGGAATAATTATCACCTGATACAGGTACAAACATTGTGAGCAGACAGGACACGCCTGCAATTGCAAGAAAATAGGACATCGACTTCCTCCGGCCTGCCCTAAAAGAAAAAAACAAATAAACACACCCAGCTAATAATGTGAGAGAGTGATACTGCAGCGTGTGGATGTGATCGTGTATTTACCACTGTTTGTTAATGAAGTACATGCAGAGCGGATACGCAGGGAGTTCCACCAGGCCATACATGGCAACGCTAAGGTAACGATTACCTTTATCTTCACTGGCACTGAGGGTCAACCCGTAATACACAAGGCTACACGCATACCTGCAACACACACACACACACACACACACACACAGAATGAGTATATTAAAATGCACAAACCTTTGCCATCATGCTGTAAGCGTGAAATGAAGATATAGCTTTGGAAAATAAATATACCTACCACACGTACATGAGCACCACAGTCCTCCAGCGCAGTATGGGATGTGTGACCAGCTGGAAAACCCCAGGACTGGCTGCATCTGAAGTGCTGGTGCTGACGGTCCGCCGGAGCTTCACTGGAATTCTGCCTTTCCCGTTCCTCACAGCAAAATCCTGCAGGATGTCCTCAGCCTTCTCCGTGTGACCCCGAGAATAAAGCCAGCGTGGAGACTCTGGCAAAGTCCTGCCATAGACATATTATCAGACATATTCTAATTTTTCACGTTCAAGAGGCATTATGACATTTTACAATATGACTGGAACTTTTTGACGGGGGAATTTTTTTACTTTATTTATTTTAAGGAGTATTTTAATTATGATACAGGCTCAATATTTTTCCTGGAGGTTGAGTGAATTTTTTTTTTTGCTCTTTTGCCCCTATTTATTGACATGGAATTACCATGGAATTTAACTACATTACTTCCTTTACCAGAACACACAAAAAAAACTCTTTTAAAAATGTATGGTTTTGCTCAATGCTTAAAGTGTCCTAAAAGCAACACCAAGTGCAGCTTTACAAAGCACCCTTTCACTGTAAACAAATCAACTGGGCCAGTATCTTCCTGGTGGCTTTTAATGAAGTCACAGTGCTATAGTTTAACAGGAGGTAGCTAGCTGACCGCACCGCTCACTTACACACAGAACAGGAAGAGCAAAAGTCCAGGACAGTTGGCTACAGTTGCTAGGTTCCGCCATGGCCGAACATAATAACCCAATGCGGCAAACAGAGTGATACCCACTGCAAAGGTCATATTAGTCAAGGTCCCTGGAACACAAACAATCGTATTAGATTTATATGACTACAGCGAAAGTAACCTACAAAACGGATTTAAATATTAATTCATGTGCACCTGTCATAGCCCAGTAGCACTTTCCCACATATTCCTGAGTGAGAACAAAGCAGACCAATGCCATTCCTCCATTCATCATCCCCACCAGCAGCCGAGACACAGCAAATATCTCATAACTGGGTGCTAACGCTGTTCCATACCCAAACAAGACCTCAAAAAACAGACCTGAGAGAGAACAGTTTTAATAGAGGTCACTTTAACAACATGTTAAACTGTTGTTTTAGGAACGTTTAGGCCTTATGTTGGTTTCTTTGCTTTTGGTTTTTAGTTGGTTGTGTATGAAAATCAGCACATGACATCTTTGCAAAGTAAAGCCGTTACAGATGATTAAACAGATGCAAAAAAGAAAAGACCAATCACAATTCAGTACGTAAATAGAATGATGTAATCCCTCATTATGAAACATTCTATCAATTGAAACATTTTCCAATTTGAATCCTATATTACTTAAATTCAAGTCATTTTAAATTTTAAGTAGTGCTGGGCAACGATCAATCGCATCCAATATATATATAAAAAAACTTTTTCACTTGTTTCATATTGAATAATAGGCAAGGAAGAACACACATTTTGAAATGAAAGTTTGAAAGGAAATAAAAGGAGCAGGAGATGCACCTCTGAAAAATAATCCAAAATATTACTTGATGCACAAACATGTCCAGTTTTTAGAGCCAACAAAGTAATGCCATTCCTGGACGAGACTTCATCAGATTCCAGGGTCTTAACATGGAAATCCAAAACTATTTATAATAAGTAAATACATTTAAACGTAAATGATTCACTGAAACTAGGTCAAATTAAAGCAAAGACATCCCATTGCCTGGGGATAAGATGCAAATGTGGCATGGTTTCAAAGGTTTGATCAAATATACATTTTGCATGATTACTGGCTTGTGCGATCAGAAATATAAAAGGAATGTACACCACAAACACATGTCTGTCCGGTGTTTATGGATTTGCGTCTATCATCAGTTACCTGTAGGAGAACCAGGATGGTGACCATCCGCTTCTGGTGTCTACCGAATTCTCCAACCACCTGGTAAGCCTCCTCTAAATCCATTCCAGGGTCAAATCATCCGACTGCATATTCACATTTTTAATAATGGGTTTGTTAACAGCAGAGATTTCAGATTCTCTGCTGTTTGATCTGGCTTGGCTTCCCTTCGCAGACGTGGAACGAAACCACGTGGTACATAGTGGTTCTGATTGGACGAGACTGTGGCATCTAAACACGTGGTACATACCTCGGTTCTGATTGGACTTCAGAAATGAACACTTAGCATGTTATTTTTTATTGTATCTAATTTAGATTAAAATTAAGGGTTTAAAAATAACTATTCTTTGTATTTTCAAATCAATGGTTATTATTATAGACTACCAGTCACTATTCAGGTGGAAATTATTGTCAAGATCGAAAATGCCATATAAACGTATTCGGAGAAACAAAATACACATTTACAGAGAAGCTCAGATAGGCCTGTTTTAGTGCAAGTAAATACAAATATGAAAAGCTAATTTCTGCACAAATTGAGTGACAAGAATAATCAACCCTTAAATTGTAGATGTGAAGGAAAAAAAACATTTAAAATAACCAATAGGATTTAATGTTTTAACGATTTTCAAAACTTTGGATGATACCTTTATCTTACTCAGTATGTAAAGTTTGCCTAAATAAGGTTACAACAACTCTTACATTTTAATTCCTTTATTAAATGCAGCAACCCCAAAAATATTTTTTCTTGTAATAAGAACCTTGTCTCTAAAAATTTGAGGAAAACATACATCTACAAAGAGCACCAATGTTACAGTCAACAAACTAAATTTAATAGAAATAAACTTTATACAAACATTTCAATACTGAACAATACTATAAAAGCTAAAAGAAAATGATCCACTCCATATTTGAACCAATAAAAAATATTTTTAATTAAACATACAAATGTTCAACAACAAAAAAAGCTCTCAACTCTAGTGAAACTAACAGAAAAGGTAACAGTAAGAAATCACTCTGAAGTTACAACATTTATTACTAAACTGTGACTGTGAAGAAACAGATATATGAAAGTTAAAAACATAGACATATATTTAAAAAGACATACACAGATGGTTAAAACAATGCTCTTTAAGACATACAAGGAGAGAGTAAAAAAAAAAAAACATAATTAGTTAATTCTGACACCTGAGGGGTAGTTTAGAACGTGGTGGCGTACACATGCTCTCGTTCTCCATCTTTGAATGGTTCAGTGATTTATTGCCATTTTCCTTCTTGCTTTTCTTCTGGTTAGACAAAAAAAATATATATATATTGTCAAACGCTACTTCTACAACCAATTTATTTTTTGTGGCCAACACTATGAACGTGTGGCTAGGTCTACCATTGTACAGCGTATTTTCAGACAAAAACAAGTCATATCAATATAGGAATTCATGCGATTGGAAATTTTGCTTCAGGGCGAAAGATTTCCCCACAAAAAAATTTGCAGCGGGTTTACTGTTTTTCACATTGACCAACAGAAAGCTGCTTGGTTCAAGTGACATCTGTGTGAGGTGTGCTTCACACATTACTACACTACTGAAAATATGCAATGGATCTTTTTTGCCCACAAAATTTCGCTAATGTGACCACACCTTAAGCATATGCATGACAATGAACGGGTCCAAAATGTCTCACCTTGAAAAACGGAACCCTTCCATTTTCATAACACATCAGGTTCTCATCAAAGCATGACTGTTCAGTGATGTTTCCATCACTAGAAACGCTGCCTTCATCCTCCAGAGAGTCCTAAAAACAGAATCGAAGTTACACCAGTCCAAACAAAAGCATCTACTACATCTTCAAATAAAAGTCTTAATAAATTTGAAAAGAAAACAGTTTCTACTGACGAGATTTATAATTTGGATGGTCAAAACTTATGATTGTAATACCTGGTCGAGAGGTTTCTCCTCTTTTGCCTCTATGACAGTCTCACACTGGCTCAGTGCACATTGAAACTGCTCCTGCTGAGCTCTGAACTCATCTTCCAGCTCCTCTCGACTCCTAGGCTTGTTCAGCACATGTGGATACACATACTCTTTACGCTGAGGAGTCGTTCCTGCAAAGATTCACATGTCACATCAGTGCCCAGTACACATGGACAGATTACTTGCATTTGAGCCACGTCTATATTCATAATGCCATATTTTGAATATTTCCCCACATAGCTTCTCTCACACCTGTAGGTAAATCTTGCCGCAGCTCTGAGCTGATGAAGTGGTGTACTGTATCCAGTGCTTGAGTGTTGATGGAGAAAAGGATCTCTTTGTGTTCTTGCAAGGCTGCATAATCTTTGTCGGTCTGCAATTCCACACAATGCAGGATTCCGTCTACTCCCTGCTGCATGTGACTCAAACAGCCTTCACAGTCCTTAATGGCTTTCTTGCCCTTTTCTTCTACAGACTGCATGCACACGAGTAAAATAAAAAATTAGCACAGGCAAAAAATACGTCCTTACGTCATACATTCTTATTTAACTCTCTCCATTCAAGAGGTTCAGACTCAAAGGTCCGGTCCCAATAACACACACTAAATGCACACCATTGAGTAAGCATATTCCATCAAATACTGGAACTCACAGGTCCCAAAATTGAAAGATGCTGAGAAAAACTTAAGCATAGGTTAAAGGGTTAGTTCACCCAAAAATGAAAATTAGCCCATAAATTACTCACCCTCAAGTCATCCTAGGTGTATATGACTTTCTTCTTCCAGACGAATCCAGTCGGAGTTATATTAAAAATGGTCTTTGATCTTTCAAGTTTCATGGCACTCAGCGGGTGTTGCATGCATCAGTCCAAAAGCACTTAATTAAAATGCACCCATCCATAAAAAATAAAAATAAAAAGTCTCTCACACGGCTCCGGGGGGTGAACAAAGGCCTTCTGTAGTGAATCGATGCATTTTTGTTAGAAAAATATCCATATTCAAAACATAATAATCACTTTAGTGTAGCTTGCGCTCACTGTTGTATACTGGAAGCAGCTCCGGGCGGATGACGTATGAGGTCAGCGTTGCGCATGTGCCGGTGAGTCTCGTGAAAACCAGCGTTTGTTAACAGGAGCAAAGGAAGCAAAGTTTCCTTAATTTAGCAAAGGAAAACTAGTCTTCTCTTGACTTATATCGAAATCCTCCGA